GTGAAGGTATAATAAGCTTGTGTTTCCAGCTGTACTTTAATTTCTAAATAAAAGTTGCTTATCAAGCTTCAGCAGGTCTGTGGGCCCGAAGCATCAGGGTTGAGAAACCTGCATAAAATGTGCTGCCTTTCCCAAATCACATCTCCTTGTGGATAAACAGAAAGTCTCCAGGTTTGAAAAACAAGCTTCCAGAAAAATAGATGGAATAACATCTAAATTATATTATTTTCCAGGCTATAACAATTTCTAAATAAATTTGACTTATTTTCCAGTGCTTTTTTTCCCACTTCTTGTCCCATTTTTTGACTAATGCGCCCTATAATCTAGAGTGACATAAAGTCAGGAAAATATTTTATAAAGAGGGAAACAGCTCTTTACCATAGATAAAATAATAATCCAACTTTAGCTGGAGACCATTTTCTACATCTGGACAAAGTGGAAAAATTAATCTTTGTGTTAAAATTTCCTTTTTGGTTCTTATTGGAATAAAGTCCAGTCATTTCTGAACTGAAAGAAGAAAAACTTGAAAGTTTTACTCCAATAATTTTCCCAGGAATGTGATCTACTGCCATTTCTAAAAACAAATAAGGCTCAAAAATCTTAAACTCTTAAATTCTTTTCTCGGATTTTAAGCTCCTGATTGTTTGAATGGGATTTATCTTGAATCCTGTTCTGCATAACAAACACATACAGAAGAATGAACCAAAGAAATAAAAAGTATAACCCTGAACAAAATGCTTAAATAATGGTGATTAGTATACAAAATAAAAACTATTAATACATCCTCAACAGAAGGCAGTGTTGAGAAATTAAGCGCTTCCCAAAACACTTGTTTGGAAAGTTCTGGTTCTGTGAGGATTTTCCTCTTCAAAACATGTTTCATCCCGTTTTCCGAGAAGAAAATCCAGACAGTGATTGGAGTGTTCTGTCCAGCAGAGGGCACCAGCGCGGAGGTGATGTGTCGTGAGGGTGAAGGCCAGCAGGGGGCAGAGCAACATCCTCAGGGGGAGAAGTTTGGGATGGTGGGACGGAACAGTCTGGACGTCTTCTCTCCTCCTCGCGAAGGTCAAAAAATCTAATTTTTATAAATTAACATTTATTTCTGAATTTATATTTACTTTAATAAGACAGAAAATATAAAATCAGTACAGAACTTTCTTAAGATTGCATTCTGTGTAATGGCCAGCAGAGGGCATCTCAAGCCTTTCTTCTGTTGTGTAAATTTGGGAAAATTTTACAATTTCCATGATTAATATGTTAAAGGCCATCACAGCACAATGGTGGTTTGTTCTGCTGCTAATAATTATGAAGCTGTCTCACATTTTCTTTCTCTGTTTAACTTTTAAATCTACATTTTTATGCTCCATCCCAGCTGCAGACAGATGTGTTTAATTTGGTTTCTCTGCTGCTGCTGCAGGTCCAGACCCAGGGACTCAGGGCGTAGTAGGAGACGCTTCCTTTGGAAGATCACAGGGTACCGCAGGACGCATCACTTCCTTCCACCTCCTCATAATTTGTCTGGTTCTGGATTAACGCCCTGTCTGTGTTTCCATAGTTACCGGTGTGGAGAGCGAAGGTCAGCAGCTGGTGGGACGGGCCAGCCTGGACATCTTCTCTCCGGTCAGAGAAGGTCAGAGTTTTACTGGAAACCTTGTTCTGATGCGAGTTTTCAGCAGATTAATCTACATGTGTTTGCCTGTTGCCATGGCGATGACCTCTCTGGCTGCTGTCAGACTCTCACTCAGGTGGTGGCTCACAGCGACGGACGCCCCTGGGGACCCACCGGGGCGCCACTGGGGGCCGGTCCTACAGCCCGCTGTCCATCTTCCTGTCCCCGCAGACGATCAAAGAGGAAGAGCCGACCAACGCCGCCGCTGCCGCCGCCGCCGCCGGCTTTGAGCCATCTGACAGGAAGGTGATGACCATATTTAGTCAGGAGGATTACCAAACTTTTTCTTCAACAAGCATTAAGAAACCTACAGAAAACTCTACAAAATGTAAACAAACATCAGCTTTTACAGTGTTTTTTTATTTATTATTCAATAATTATTACATTAATTTAGCATAAATGCTGATTTTAGATGGTCATGTGTTCTTTTTTATCAGATAAATATTTTATGACTTTATTACCAGATCAAAAGAAAACATGTAATATTTCACATTAATCACATAACATTTTATTTTATTCTCCCAGTCCTTCTGGTCTTTTTCTTGTCTGAATCTTTTCCATTTTCTGATTGCGCCGTTAGTTTGACGAGCAAAGATGAATTTAGCTGGCAGCCAATCAGAAAATGAGCGTCAGAAATAATTATTTTAACTTGTATTTTAAAAAGATTGTTGTACAATAAAAATGATGATAAATTTAAAAATAAAAGCTTTTTTAAAAATGTTTTTTCTCATCTTCTCCAACTTTCTGAGGCCCCCACTTTGATAAACTCTGGTCTGAAGCAAAGGTTTGACCTCTGACCTCTGTTGTTTCAGCCTGAGAGGAGCAGTGGCTCCAGCCAGGAAGGGGAAGCTCCGACTCTGCCCACCACAACCCAGCAGACCAATCAGAGTCAGGCGGTGACGCCTTTCTACACTCCAGAACCGAGCCTCCGTGGAGCCAACGGCATTCAGACTCAGCTCAGTTACGGCTCATCTGCCGCCGCAGCAGCAGGTACAGCTTGGTTTCCATGGTTACGGCATCAGTCTGGGTCCATTTCTAATATCCTGATTCCTGCGTTAAGCTTCAGGTTCAGCTGCGATGGCAGCGGCTTGCTCGTCTCTGTCCCAGAACATCGCAGACGTGGTCGGACAGGACGGCGCCGCTCCGCTCACGTCCCTGCAGATCCACTTCATCCAGAACATGATCCACGAAACGCTGGAGGAGTTCAGGTGTCCAAACTTTTTATCACTTGCACTCAAAACTATTAGCGGGTCAAAAATAAAATCATTTTTAAAAACTAAAAAAAACAACATTTTTTTATTTACTCAACAATAAATTAAGCATAAGCTATCTATATTAAACATTTTTTGTAGGAATGGTGTTGATAGAAAACTTTAACTGTTGTATGTTTTTCTTCTTTAATGAAAGGCACCCAGTTATTTTTGAAGAATCCTGAGAAACATTTTCTATTTTCAGCAATAAAAACAGAATCTAGTTCAGTCTCCATCTGAAAACACCTGCTGTATGTAGCCAAGTCTTAATACAGCAATTAAAAGCAGGCTGTGGTTCACCAAGGTTTACTTTAAAGTTTGTCGATGAGTAGATATGGTCTTAGTCGCCATGACAACAGAAGGAAACCAGAAAGGTTGGAAAAGTTGATTGCTTTGTGTTGCATCTAACATTTTTCTAAGTAGATTTTAATTTAAAAGTTGTATTTTTGTCCTAATTTATTCTTGAATTGTGGTTGGGGGGAGGTTGCAAATAAATCAGTCCAGGGACCGTAAATGGCCCCCGCTCCCCACTTTGACCAACGTTAGTTGAAAAGCTTCCTCACCTGAGCAGAAAACTGGAAAACGCTGAATTTAAAGGTTGTTTTTTTCCTGTGACGTTAGGACCGCCTGTCACCAGGACATCCTCAACCTGCAGGTGGAAATGATCCGGCAGTTTTACATCCAGCTGGTAAAAGCTTTTCATTCTGAGGATTTATGTTCAATTTGGTCCTTTTATTTAGCTAAAACCGGTGACGTTCATTTGACATGTTGTTCCAGACGGAGATCCACGGTCTGATTGAGAAATATTCTGTCAACGAGTCTCTGGTGGAGGAGATCGAGAGGCTGCGGGAGGAAAACCGCCAGCTCAAAGCGAACTACTGAGCTGCTGTCATCCAGCCTTTAGCCCCGAGTTGAGTCTGACAGGCTGCAGTGCCTTCATCCCAAACTGCTTATTCTGTTTGTCTGCATCAAAATCAGTAAATGACCGACAGAAACCAGCATTTTGACTCAACGTGTTATGTTGTAATTTAATATTTTGTCTGTTGATGCATGAAATTGTGAGCGGTTCGTCTGTGTGTTTGTGTTTTTATCAAGAAACATCTTGGGTGAAAAATAGAGAATTGTAAAAGAGAAGCTGTTTTTCCACTACAAATTAAATTTGTTCGGAAGTTTCTTAATATGAATCTTAAATAAATTGACTTATTTAAAAACAATCTGGAGAGTCATCTGTCACTTGTAATTAACTAAAACTAGAAGTTTACATACACCAAATCAAGACATGCAACTTTTTTTCCTCTAAAGTTAAAACAAACTTTTCTTGTTTTAGGTCAGAATTACCAGTGTTATTTGTATTTGTTAAATGCCACAATAATGAGAATCTCATATGTATTTATTACTATTAAAAATCAGAAGTTTACATTTAACGCTTTTATTTCAATTAAATTTGAGTTTTGGTCAGAGTTTGGAGGATTATCATCCAAACCTTCGGGACTCTGTCCCCAACGTCTGGGTTTTCTATTAACATGCGATTCATTTCGATTAAAAAAATGTAATTGAGTCCCACCACTACATACTTTATAGTGCTACTCAAGTACAATTAAAACGTATGGCATATTTACTAAAACTACTCGTAGAATTACGTTTAACAAGTTAATGTAATTAGTTACGCTTCAAAACTTATTAGTTTCACGTTCGTCACATTTATTTTTAGACGTTTTGGTCAGTGTTTGGAAGATTACCATCCAACCTTCGCGGCTCTTTGATTCTCAGCTGTCTGTACCAGTTTTATCGTCGTCGGCCTTTTTGTGTCCGTTTCAGGAGGTCACCATCTTGATATTCGCTACTCTTTGGTTGTTTACTCGGAGTTCCAGATTCTGCTTGTTTTCAAGGTTCAGATTTACAGACAAAGTTTGAACTTTAAATCAGCCTGTCTGAGCGGTCCACCCCAAGTTTATTTTCCACACAAACGGTTGCAAACAGGGCGAACCGAACCATTTTCCGGGTTTAACCGGGTTAAAGTTCGCCTTCGGTTCACCGGAGAGTCCGGAGGTCACCTGGACAGGTGAGAAGCTGCTGGTTTTAACTGGACAGAGTAGTCATTTTGTAACTATCCTGAGTCCAACTGAACCAACTGTGTGAACTTCCTGCTCGAACAGCTGTTTAACCTTCACCGTAGTACAAAGATATCCTTTTACATGTAATCTGAGCGAACCGAACGCCGTCTCTACTGCAGAGAGAACATGTATGGTGCAGAAATGCAAAAATATTGACTTATTTTCTGGTCCATTTCAACAGAATCTTCAGATATATTCATGCCGTTTTGTTTCGCAGCTCTTTGGATGATGGCCAACCCTCTGCGGTCTGAGGTGGTTCGGCTCTACAAGAACGTGAGTTTTCAGTTCTACATTATTAACCAATCAGTTGACAGATTATCAGTGAAGTCACTAAGGTGAAGACGCAGAACAGCCAATAAGCTTCCTGTGATTTCTATTCATTTAATAAATGGAGAGTTTGTGTTAGGCTCGGAGTGAATCAGAGGTCCAAATGTCACGGTTCTGTTGCACTTTAACTTTTCTCTCATGATCATCAAGCAAAATATGACCCCTTATTCTAGTTCTGATGTAATAAAACAACCTGAGACAACACAAAGATGAAGGCGGTTTACAGGTGACCTGATATGCTTATTTGAACATGTTAGGTCTTGTTAGTCTGCTCAGTTCTCCTTATTTTGAGCTATTTTAGGGCTCTTGTAACTTTAAATCCAAATAAGCTGCTGCTGGCTACATCACTAACCAAGGGTTTTACACTGACATGTGAAAATGGCTGCAAGTGGATAAACAGTTACACTGTACAACCGTACATCTTTGAAAAGCAGAAATAGAAACTCCGGAACAACCAACAAGAATTTAGCAAGTAGTTTCTGAATGGTAAGTCCAGAACAAAACACTTCTCTTTTCCAGCAGCCATTGTACAGTGCATACAGTGGTAAAAGCAGCTGACCAAACATGCTGGAACTCAGCTAGGGTTGCTAGGTAACCGGTGGGGTTCTGCCAGGGTTGCTAGGTAATGAGCAGAGTTTTTCTAGGGTTGCTAGATTTATTAGGGTTTTTTTTTTTTTTAATGGCTCATTTTCCAGACACCAAAAATGTTTTTACTTATTGCCAAAAAACAGCTGGGTGTTTTTAGAAGCAGTTGAGACCAAAATGGAAGTACAAAAAATATGCGAAATATGAATATGTCCCCTTTAAATTTAATTCACCAATCTTCATCCTCAGCTCCTCTACCTCGGCCGGGAATACCCGAAAGGCGGTGACTACTTCAGGGACCGTCTGAGAGCGGCGTTTACCAAGAACAAGTCGGTCCAGGACCCAGAGCAGATCAAGGCCATGATCGCCCGGGGGGAGTACGTGGCGCGGGAGCTGGAGGCGCTCTACTACCTGAGGAAGTACCGGGCGATGAAGAAGCGTTACTACGAGGAGTGAAGACGCTCCGCAAAGACTCACATAGAAAAAAAGAAAATAGAAACATTTTTATTTAAGAACAGATCAAACAACAGCAGCTTCAACTGACCCTGCAGAGTTTAATATATATAAAAAAAAATACAAAGGGAATAACAGTCTAAAAATAATGGATCAGTTATTCTTTAGAAAACGGGGAGGAGTTTCGGGTCACAGCGTAGGGGGCGCTAGAGAGTCTCCATCAGCCAGGTTGGCCCTGCAGATAGGACAGGTGGAGTTGTCCTGTCAGGGGGAAACAGGCAGGTTAATACAGAGATGTTCATCACAGACAGACATCTCACTCTGTTAGAAAATCAGCAGGGTTTATCTAAAGCAGGCGTGTCCAAACGTTTTGTTATATGAGAAAAAACTGTTGAGTCAGACAAAAAAAAATTAAAAATCAAGCAAATAAAGTAGTCTTTTTTTGTTTTGTTATTCTTTGCAAGTTTACTGTACGAACAATTTAGGGGGAAACAGTGATTAAAAGCTTTACATAAAAGAGAAAACACAATTAAGGCTGAAACGATTAACCGTGATTAATTGATTATTTAAATAATATAAATATATAATAATAATACAGACTCAAAAGAAGGACATTTGCTGAATAAAGAAGATCTTCAGACAATTAAACCCAAACTGTATAAAAAGATACTCATTTTGCTTTTAAGGTGAAAAATCTTTTCTATCTGTAAATGTGTTACAAAGAACTCATCAACTAGCATTGGTTTAGCTTCACCTGGTTCAAATTCTGTAAAATAAACAAATCTTCAATTCAGCACCTTTATATTCCAATTACTAATCAGTTAATTGATAAGTCCAGCAGAACTGGATGAGCTTTTTATGTTAGAAGTATTTTTTTAGCTGCAACTGATCAGCAGAATAATATACTGCTGCATTTTAGGTAATAAAATGTTTTCCTTTTCACTAAACGGAACTGAATTGTTTATTCACATTTTCTAATGCATTTATAATGTGTAAAAAAGGCTCAAGTGTTTAAATGAAAACCCTGGAAAATGTGAGATTAATCGTCAGATTAATCGATAAATTACTAAAATAACCGTTATGCATTCTACATTTTAAGGGTCTGGAGATAATTTAGCAACTTGACAATAAAAACTTGGGTGTTTGTTTCTCTGTGCCTGTACCTTTAACCACCTGTCGATGCATTGGACGTGGTAGTCATGGAAACAGGGCAGCATCCTCAGCTTGTCCTTGTCAGCGTATTCGCAGAAACATATCTGACACCTGCGGATAGGTAAAACAGAGAGGCAGTTTTAAATCTTCCGGTTCGGGTCGGGTCGGACCGAACTGGACCAGACCGGGTTCTGGACTCACTGGGTATTCCCGCTGTTGGTCGCAGAGCAGAAGTTTTTGGTTGGAAACCTCTGGATTTCCCTGCGACTCATTTTCTTTGACACAACGGCGCCCTGCCGCTCTTCGAACTCCAGGAGAGCCTGAGAGGAGAAGAAAGGAATCGTGGTAACCCCTTACCGCAGTTACCACGGAAACCAGGCGTTTCCATGGCTCCCTGCTCTGGGGGGAACTTTCCGGAACTTTCCGGAAAGAAAGAAAAAAACAACAACAAAAAAAAACCCGCCGTTGTTCGGAGACGACATTGGGTTCGGCTTGGTTTCTCACCTCGTAGTCGTTCCCCTGGAGATCTTCTGCGAAGTCAGGTAACCTGCTCCTCCTTCGGCCCCGCCCACGCCGCATGTGCTGACCAATCAGATCTATGGAAACACACCAGGTGCATTGGTTAAAACAAACAAATCAGATGCTAGTTTATATCATCTCTATGATGTGTAATATGATTACTTTCAAAAAGTTTTAGTGTCCTGAAACGATTTATCAAATTAATCGATTATTGAAATAGTCGTCAACTAATGTAGTACTTAATTGTTAACTGAAGTATAGAGACTCTAAAATAAATCATTTACCAAAATAACACTCAGAGCTGTAATTAGGACAAAACCATACAAAAAAACATATTTTATTTTTCTAATTAAATGGAAACACAGCAATAGCAAAATTGTTTTTTTGTTTGTTTTTTTTTTTTACATTAGCGGAATATCAACAAAGTTTTGCTCTCATTTGTAATGGAAAAGCAGCTAATGCTGTATATAAAGGAGAAATAAGTTAAAAAACAACAACACTTTCAGATCATACCATCTTCAAATCCAACCAGAGGAGAGACGGCGGCCAACACCTGAGACATCCAGCTGGGCTGGACGTAGGAGTAACACTGCACACAGAGAGAAGCACCGTCAACACCAGAACCAGAACTGGGTTAAACCAAACAGCAGGAGTTCACTGTCAGAGATCCAACTGGAGCAAAATTAACAGTTCAGTAAATATGAAACTCGTCACATTAATATTCACTGATATTTTGCGTGTAAAGGTAAACTCGACTAACGCTCCACTTTGGTCATCACTGCATTAATAAACAGAATATATTTCAAGTTAAAACTGTTTCTGTTGAAAAATGTTAAAAGTTGACAAAATATTATGGAAATAAAACAAAGAGCAAAGAAAATACAGCTCTGACCTAAACAAAACTAGTTTTTCTATAAATTGTGTTTGTATAATCACATGCCATTGTCTTTTTAAATAGATAATTGTCTGCTAAACATTACAGATGTTTTGTTGTATATAATTTCCAAATTCTTTTGAAGTCGACTGGACAAATTTTTTTTTCAGTTATAAGAACAGGTTTTGTGTCACTTCCTTTCAAAACATTATATTTAGTAAAGTTTAATAAAATAAATAAAAGCTGATCTGGATGCCACAAAGTTGACTTTTCAGTAAAAGTTTTCAGATACACTGTGTTCTACTTATTATAATCTTTTGGTTATAAAAATAGAAATACTTTATGTCGTATTTAACATTTTCCATTGTTAAATACGACCGATAAAAAAGCCGGGCTGCACTTTGCACAGCCCTGCTCTACAACCAACACTAAATAAAAGAATCAGGTTTAAATATGCAGACATTTTATTTTGATAAATCATTCGCCTCACCCTTTGGTGGCTCTGCTGATGATGATGAAGATGATGGCTGTGATGATGATGTCTGCTGAGCGACTCCTCATGGTCGAACTGAGCCTGAAACAAACAAAACCAAAACAGGAAGTTAGTCCCACCTGTTCAGGTGAGCTGCTGGGAGTCTGCAGCAGGATGTAAGGAAGTCCCACCTGCAGGCTCCGCGCCAGCGCCTCATCTTCCTTCATCTGTAACGAGCGAACAGTCGCCTCCTCATCGTCGCTGATGACGATCTGCTCCACCACGTCTGCAGCACAAACAGACAGATGAAGCTACGAAGCTTCAGGTGCAGCTTTATTGTCCAAACTCTGACCTACGACTGGAGACAAATCGATCTTATTGATTTATTGGATTTTTGAAGATTTAATTTTTGGAAAATGTGGATTTTTTTCACCGATGCACCCCTTTGGTTTCCATACTTCAGAATGATGCCAGCACAGGGCGGCCATCTTGTTTGACTCTGAACTATGGAAGCTAAATGAGGGCATTGGTGGAAAGAAAATCCAGATTTGCTAAAAATTTAATCTTCAAAAACCAAAAATTCAATAAACTGATTTATCGTCCAGCCCTAGGAACAATTAGATGCAAATATTTATTGTACAGTTTTGGCTTAATTTCTGCTCTGAATATTTTTGTTCTATCAGGAAATTGTCTTTTTTTAAGACTCCATACTCCAGTTAATGATTAAACAATTACGAAATTAGCTGACAGCTACTTCAATAATCACAATTAATCCGATTAATTGTTTCAGCTCTAGTTAGCATTGATGAGTCGATGTGGATCAGGTGCCTAGTAACTACTGCTCTGAAAATGTTGGGGTTTTTTCAGCAAAATTTTTATTTGAGTCTGTATACTCCACTTAACAATTAATCAATCACTAAATTAGTTGATGACTATTTCCATAATAAATTAATCCTAATTAAAACTCCCTAATGATTCTCATAAAAGGGATTACTGAAGTAAAAGCCATTTCTTGAACACATTTTCTGTCATATCCATTTTAAAAAAGAAAGTGAGAAAAAACAAATTGATTTAAATCTGGCATGAATTCATGAGATTTCATGTTTAAGCCCCACCGCTGAGCGCCGCTGTGTCCTGACCTAGTGAGGCGTCTCCTTGTCCTTCGTTCAGCCATTTCCTCTCCTCATCGGTGAGGAAGGACAGCGAGCTGGATGAGGATGCTGCTGCGGGGGGAGACGCTGAAGCTGACGCGTCAATCTGGTTTGACCTGAGGACTGACTCTGGAGTGAGGTAGGAGACGGAGGAGGAGTTGGAGGAGTAAGACAACGAAGACGAGGAGGAAGAAGATGATGAGGAGGACGGGGCTTCCAGCCAGCCGCCCAGAGGAAAACTCCTGAGAGATGATGCTGGAACGAAGCCGACACTCGGGTCGACCAGTCGCCGGCGCTTAGATTTAAGTGAAAAACCTTCGCCGGCCCCTATGGACTTCTCTGGTCCTGGAGAGCCGCCGGTCGCCACCTGAGGTCCCTAAACAGAGAGAAAGAATGCTGACTAAGCATTTATCATTCTTCTTCACAGGTTTGCTTAAAAATAATCAGCTGATCCAGAAAGCTGCTGCTGGCGTTCTGACTAAAAGCAGGAAGATAGAGATCATCACCCAGTCCTTCCACTGGTTATCTGTAGCTCAGAGAATAGACTTTAAATCCTGCTGTTAGTTTATAAATCACTGAATGGCTCAGCATCACAATACATTAAAGATCTGGTGTTGTCATAGCAACCCTCCAGAACCTCTCAGGTCTTCTAGTTCTGGTTCCCAAGACCAGAACCAAACATGGAGAAGCAGCATTCAGCTTCTATGCACCACAAATCTGGAACAACTTCCAGAAAACTGCAAAACAGCCAAAACACTGAGTGCCTTTAAATCTAAACTAAAAACCCACCTGGTTAGAGTTTCTTTAGAAACATAATAAACAAAATATAAATCAACATTTCATCTGTAACGACGGCATTTAACAAAATGTAATGTTTCAATTGTTGAGTTGACTGTGTTCTATGACATATAGCACTGCAAATATTGTGATAAAACATCATGTTCAGCCAGAACGGGACTCACAGGGCTGTAAAGATCCTCTGCAGTACGGCGGTGTCTCCTCCGTTTGCCGAGCTGTGGGCTGGAGAAAAACAGACAGAACCAACTAGCTGTGAGCTTGACATTTCTGTGGCCGTCAGTTTCAGCATAAACTAGTTAACATGGAGAATAACTCATGTTAGAGCATTTATCATCATTTATTGTGAAAAATTTCTTATGATAAAATTTTTTATTTATCAATGTTATGACAAATTTCAGTTATTAGCCTTACGAAGAAAAAAAAAAACACTTATAGTATGATTGGAAATGCTACTTTTGCCATTTTCTCCACCCACTGTTTGTTCTACAAGAGCCTGAAAAATAAAAGTAAATTTGAAAATATGACTAAATGCAGTTACTGTGTGCAGCTTAGTAATATAAAAATCACTTAAAAAAATAAAAATAAATAAATAAGAGGTCTCCTGAAGGACTCAGTTTCAGATGGGAGTGTTTTTAAAGAACAATATTTGTGTTTGGGGCACATATATTTGTGTCAGACATAATGTTACCTAAAAAAAAAAGGTAAGTCATAAATTGCATTTTTAAAATCATTTTTATTATCACAGTAGTACCATAAAATATTGCGATAAAATTCTGAGTCCGTAATATCGCCCACGTCTACTTTCCATATTCCATCTGTCAAACTGTGCCATCTTTAAATTTGAACAGATTAGATTCAAGAAAGGAAACCTTGTATATTTTGTGATAGCTGTATATTCACAAAATGGACAAAACTCTGAACTAAACTAAAATTTGTGACCCAGAATCAACAAACCGAACCGAATCTGGTTTAAATTCTTTCTCTTTCTCACTGTTTACGTTTTAATTATGTTTTTAAAATCTCTTTCTCACATGCTGTTTTTATTTTAATTATGTAAAGCACTTTGAAATGCCTTGCTGCTGAAATGTGCTATACAAATAAAATTTGATTGATTGATTGGTTGATTGATTGATTGAAATAGGTCTAAAACTACAGCCAGAGATGACCAGCAGTTTGAGCAGCGAAACAAAAACAACTGTGTGTCTGTACCTGGGGGTTTCTGGGACAATGACGGACAGATCACTGAACAGGTCCTCTGCGGGTTCCAGCAGACATCCTCGGTTCAGACCTCTGGGGCTGTCCGGTTCTGAAGAACCAGGGCTGGCAGGGAACCTCTCAGCCATCGCGTTTCACAAACCTGTCTCCAAACTGACCAATCACCTTCGGTTCAGTCTCATATCAGCGGGATGGTGACGAGGATAAAGAGCAGGTCGCCTGTAACAGAGAACCATATTTAAACCGGTAAAAAACCCGAAATACCTGCCGAACTGATATCTCAAATATTACAGTGAAATGAGTTTTTAAAAACAGAGAAAATAATTCATTTTAAACTGAAAGTAGCTTCAGTGATAGCTAGCCCAGTTAGCTGCAACAGGCTCATTAATAAGCGGTTTAATGACAAACAAGACAATTAAAACATCAGAGATTAATTAAACTTCACTGCTTTCGCCAGAGCAGAAAACATGATGAGATTAAAAACGAGTTTACCTTCAATTTCTGCCTTCTTTTCGGTTTCTGAACGGACATACAGCCTGAGAACCGCCGCTTAGCTGACAACAGAAAGTCCCTTTCAAAATAAGGTAACCTACTTCCGGTAACACTTTGGGGCGAAAGTACCGAAACATCCCTCTTCACAATAAGAGACTTTCGGTTTCAATATGACACATAAGAAAGAAAACAAAATTCGATTAAATTTATAGATTTATTTATTAGTAAAGTTCTCACCGAATTCAGACTGAAACAAAGGAGATGCATAACCTGAAACAATTATTTTTTTTCTCAAAAGTTTAAGACAGAAAAAAATGTCCCTTTGGTATGAAAGCCAACTGCATTTTTATCTATTTTTTTGTATTTAATGTCCTTGATTCATTTTCAGCACTTACACAAAATAATCTAATTTATCTCTTTTTTTTACACCAGACAATATGAATGTCCTTTTGTTTGTTGAAGAATTGTGGAGCTTAAATTCTGAATTATATGCTGAACTTTCAGCATGAGACTCAAAACAACCAATTTTGATCAACAAAAATTGGCTTTTTTGGCAAAATAAAATTACAAAAAATCTTAAATGTCAAATGAAGCCTGGTTGCTATAAAATAGTGACAACTGATAGACATATTTAACATAAAATAAGTGATTGCATACAATATTCACCCTCTTTAAAATGACTGACCTAATTTAACAAAGGTCCAGCCAACTGGTGCCAGTAGTCTCACAATGAGTGGAATGGTGATCACCTGAGTGCAGTGAGTGTTTATCAAGTATTTGTAGTACAAAGACACCTGTGTCTGGAAGCATGAAGACTGAAGTATAAATCAGGGGATGGATAAATAAAAACTCAACCCCTGGAGTTTAGCTAAGTCATAATCAAGTTATTTGTTCTGATGAGACAAAAACTGAGTGTTTTGGCCATTAAAGACTCTATACGTTTGAAAGACACCAAACACCATCCCTACTGTGAAGCATGGTAGTGGCAGCATCATTCTGTGGAGATGCTTCTCTGCAGCAGGCTGTAAAGATAGAAGGTAAAATGGCTGGAGTAAATATTTCACTTCCAACAGGACAACAACCTAAAACTTAAGCTACACAGAAATTGTTTAAAGACAACAAGGTGTATGTTTTGGAGTGGACTAGTCAAAGCCCAGACCTGTTCACAGCTGATCCCCATGAAACCTTACAGAGCTGGAACAACTTAGCAGGAAGAAGGGAGGGAAACCGTCACATCCAGATGCATAAACTGAGACATTTATCCAAAATTGAAAGCATTGCGAGAATTGTCAATTTTAGCATTTTCTCCACTGTAAAGAAAATCAATAAAAGGTAATTTTTAATGTAAAATGTCAAAGATGAAGCTATAAAATATAGAACAGCACCCAACCTCCATATGATATGATTCCACACAGGTGGGTTCACTAAGCTGAGGTTGGTCTGTTGTGTCTGACTGACACGGCCGTTCCTTACAAAATGGCCGACCTGAGTGAGCCTCTCCCCGTAGGGACTTCTAAAGACATTTCTGGATCTCAAATAGCTAAAAAGATGTATATTTTTTTTACTTTGGTGACAAGTTAAGCACTATTAAAAACAAAAGCAGCAAAAACACTTAAACATTACATTTTTATTGTCACATTTAACAGGCACTCAACAGAGCTCATCTTTACAAAATGACTTCAGATATAAACACAGCGCCACCTGCTGGCGATAAAAACAAAGCACAATGAGAGGAGCTGAAACAAACCGCATCATCTTTTAAAAATCTGAATTTATTAAAATAAACATTGAAGTGGTTAAGAAACCGAAATGTTACTGCATTAAGGAACAACGAACTCAAACGCTGGAACGGTCGCCATGGTAACGGCAGGTTAGAAGAGCATGGACTGCAGCGACTTGCGGACTGTGGCCATCTCCTGCTGTTGCTGTGGAAACACATGACAATATGGCGTCAGAACCCGAGCGGACAAAGCATTTTATTTGATTTACAACCCCCAACACACACAAAAAGGAAAAAAAAAATCCACACTGACAACAACAATTGTTTTTGGTGGAGATTATCTACCAGACAGCCATTTTGCTTTGTGCTGGAAAAGAAAATGACCTTAAAATTAAAGTTTGAACCTGATGATAACCCAAACAAGCAGGTAAGTAATCAGCACCTTGGCTCCAGACCTACAAGATGAAAGTTAATAAGTAGTCAGCCCAAACCGTGGATCTTAATCCAATGGGATTGGATTAAGGTCTAATCCTAGAGACATTGAATATGCCATTTCTGAGGCCAAACCAAGAAATCCTGAGGAACTTAGAAATGCATCCAAGTTGTTCTGGGGTTGTTAGCTGGTCACAGGGGCCAGAAGTTGCATTTTTTGCCCAGTATATTTGCGCATATAAAATTTCAGTATGTTATCACACCTGACTGGGGAAAAAAGTTGCAACATTTGTTACATTTACTTTGAAAAATCTGTTCCCCTCCACACCTGTGGTGGCGCTGCTCCAAGAACCACTGAAGGAAACGATACAAGAACATCTAAAAAACATACTTAGCGCAACTAACCTTCTTCAGGAAATGTAAACAAAAATGGAGTGGTGTCAGATTTTAGTGATTGTAGGATTTCTCCACGAGTCATTTCTCCCGCTAGACTCTTGCGTTTGTTTTGGTTATATTTACCCAGAATACTCTGTGCTATAGTCTGAATCCTGCTTTTGGAGCGGTTTCCACTCTGCTTGGCGTTCAAATAGGCATTCAAACCGCACCAGAGCTCACTTCAACTGAACCGAGATCGAAGTTTGTAGACGGACCAGGATTCCCTTTTTTAATCCGCATCAGAGTTTGGTTGCGTATTCACACCTCCACAAAACGAACCGGACTTTCTAGACAAACAAACTGGAGTTTGATTAAAACAGACTGGGTATGAATGCAGCCTAAATCTCACCGTGTCCATGAGAATCTTCTTCTGCAGGGTGGCCATCTCCTTCCTCAGTTCCTGCTGCGTTCCTTGCAGGAACATCTCGTGGTTTTTCTCCATGTCCTCCATGTTCTGGAGGCAAACAGCAAAAACTTCAGGTTATTGTTTCACTTAAACATGATGTCACGACTAAAATACAAATATTTTCTCAATAAGTCACAGAATATTTTCTTTCTGCAACTGCAGGTTCAGTTCTGTCACACAATGACAATATGTTAAACTACCGTCCATAAGCCAACAGCCTGCTGTATATTGAATATCAGTAATTTAATGTTATTTCTGACTGTTTTTGTCTTTTTTGTATTCTGGGGACCATGTGAAATACTCCAACACCACATTCCCATACTTACTTGGTACTTCCTGAAATATAATTAATTAATTTTGGGTATGACATTTTTTTTTTAGACTAAAACAACCAAATTAACAAATTAATAAATTATGATGATTATTGAAGTAGTCATCAAGTAATTTAGTACTTTAGTACACAGTTCAAATTCTGTGAAAAAAAAATCTCATATTAAGCAACTTTTTCTATTCAATTTTGATTGGTTATTCTGAAAAATAATTTTAAAAAATCAGCTGTAAACTGCAATTATGTTAAGTCAAGCAAAAAGAACTGAGCTTTTCACATTTTGATGTTATAAATATTTTTTTAGCTGCAAATGCTACAAAAATAAAATCTTCACTAAACAAATACTGAGTTATTGCATTTTAGGCAACAAAATAGCTTATTATACCATTAATTTAATTATTTGTTTGAATATTTTAATGTATTTCTAATATTTTACAGAAAAGGGCAAAATATGCCAAATTTTTACATGATTAATTGTCATAATTGCCTAATTAATAACTAAATTGCAGTCCTAGTCGTTCTTGAGCTGACCTCTCTAAAAGACGGCACAGTTGAAGGGTTTTTAATGTAATAATTCAAGAGAAAGTCAAAATCCAGTCACATGCAGCATCAAAGATGACATCACTGAGTTAGGAATTGCTCAGTAAGTATTGATTGGCTCACCTTCATGAACTGCTCATACAGTTCTCTGACGGCTTTCAGCTTCTGGTTCTGCACGACTCGGGCCTGCTGCAGGACTTTCAGCTGCTGCCGAAACAAATTCTGTGAACACAAACGACAAAGTATAACCATCAGCATCGTGTTTTTATTGAATCAAACCATCTTTGGTATTTGCTGTGAATGGTATCTGGGATTTTTTAAAATCTATGTGCAGTCAGTAAACAGAACTTCTGCAAAATGTTCACAGATCATGAAAGCTACCAGAAAACAACCGTCATACCATCCTTCTTGCAATGAAAAAAGTCAATGTAAACACTGGTCACATTGTGTTTTTGCAGCCTGTAGTGCGGCATAATGTAGATGAAGCGGATAAACTGACATTGAGCTTCTCCTCCTGCTCCTCGGCTCGCTGAGCTTCAACCTCCCACTGCTGCAGCGCAGAAGAAACCTGCTGATGGTACTGCTGGGTCATCTTCTTCCTTTACAGAAAATACAATGTAATGGAGCATATAAAGTTGGGTTGAAACAATTAATTGTGATTAATCAATTATTGAGATAATCATAAACTAATTTAGTAATCAATTAATTGTTAATTGGAGTATAGAGACTCAAAAAGATAATTCTCTGGAAAAAACATTTTCAGAGCGGTAACTACTAGTCACCTGATCCACATCAACTCATCAATACTAAATAGGACTGAAACGATTAATCAGATTAATAGTGATTAATTGATTATTGAAATAATCATCAACTAATTTAGTAATTGATTAATCATTAACTGGAGAATAGAGACTTAAAAAGGCAGTTTGAAGAAAGAACAACATACTCAGAGCAATAATTAAGCCCAAAACTGTACAAAAACATTTACCTTTTGATATCCAGTTATTAATCAATTGATCCAAAACATAATCAATAGATCAGCCCTGCACTGTATTAATGTTAGGTCAAGCAGAAAGAGCAGATTTTCAGATTTTGATGTTAGAAGTATTTTTTAGTTGCAGATGCATCCTTTGCTACAAGTGATCAAACATAAACTAAAGGAATGATAAGTTAATGCATTTTAGTTAATAAAATATTGATTTGATAATTTAAGAAAAAAAATTTGATAGTTTACTTTAATCTTTTGATGTGTTTTT